CCCCCCCCTTTTTAAAAAAAAAAAATTACACGGGGCAGTGACTGCCTTATGTGGTTTATAAAGTGACGCACCTGTCTATGGGCAGCTATGACGTCATTACGCACAACCGGACGTCTAGGGACGCCAGTAGAAGATAAACAAAAAGGAAGGAAGCCTCCGGCCCAGCAGTCGCGGCAAAATTGGTTTAAAAATTGAGGTTTGCCATAGCAGTTAATGAGTACATGTATCGTTCAGTCGGTTGAATAATTATTAGTCGGCTTTTACAGTCATGGACGAGGCCATAATATTCCGCATGAGTGCATTTTCTGAGCAAGGGGGTAGAAAATACATGGAGGATGTTGTCGATATAAAAATCGAGTATGAGCCGTCGGCCTCGTCAGTCGAGGATTATTCCAAGTCTCAGAGACATGGAGAAGAAAAGGCAGAGACTGAAGCTGCAGAAAAGACTGAAAACGACACACACGGGCGTCAAGCTGCCGCCGAGCCTAAACCAGCTTGTGCTGTGTGGGTGGAGAATCTCTCCAGCGAGGACATCAGCAACAACAGCGCGCCGGTACTGTGCGAAAAAGTCGCAGTGGATACTCGCACGTCGGTGGCATTTTTTGCCGTGTTCGACGGCCACGGCGGTCGGGAGGCGGCACACTTTGCACGGGACAATCTGTGGGATTTGTTGAAAAGGCAACGTGGGTTTTGGTCGAAGGATCACAGCGAAGTATGTGCTGCTCTGCGGAAAGGCTTTGTTGCCTGTCACCATGCGATGTGGAAAGAGCTGCGTAAGTTATCAAAGGGACGGACACCGTAGCCTGTCTGTGTTTATGTTGATGCCTTTTGTTTGCAATTGTTCCTGTGGTAAACTGTCACAGAGACATTTGCTAATACCAATGTCCAGTTCTGCAACAACTACAACACAGCCAAAATGATTACTCCTAACAGTAGGAAATATGAAGTATTCTGGTTTAATTCGTTGTCATTTTTGGGAGCCAAGGCTACAAAAATGAAAGTTTTTTTGTAAAATGACGCTTGCATGACCCACCATTTATTTCTACACCTATGAAGAAAAATGTCTTCCATATAAAACATCATAGGCAGCAGTAACTCAACTGAAAAGACAGCTGCTGCAAAACATGCATTTCAGGCACATCTCATACAATTTAGAGCAGACTGGGATTTCAAAGGTGTGTTTACAAAGAAATAGGCAATGTTGAGGATTGCAGAGGCAGTAGTCAACAAGCAAAACACAACAATTGACAGTTTCTTCACAATAAGCAGTGACATCAACTCAGAAATGGGTGAAACCAGTAGGACTCATTTAGGCTGACCAGAGTGGTCTTCACTGAATTGTTGCTGCCAAAAGGCCATATTTGTGTGACATGCAGACAAGGCCAAGAAACGTATGCATGCAAGTATAGGATGCAGACTAACAGCAGAGTTTGCTTTGTACTGACAATTAAAACCAAATAAATCTGGCTGTTGCAGACTGCCGTTTATTAGATGAACAGCTGTAGAGCAGTTCATTAACTGAGTTATTCCAAGGAACAGTGAAGCATGTTGAAGGTTCCTTGCAAATTTGGGGCTGCAAAAAATTGCAGAAAGTTCAATAAAAAGCTTTACACCTTAAAAAATAATTATAAGCACTTCCTGAAATCAGTTATAAGTTCTCGGTGACTGGAATGTGGTACTAAATTAATTTCTGTCCAATTATAGCTTGTGCAATTAAAGCTTGTGCAATAAGTATTTACCACATACTTTGCGAAAATAAACAAATGCTAGCATGTTTGGTAGGATGATTATGTGGCAGAGTGCCTTACAGTAACATACATCATTTATATGGCTAGGATATATTTCCTAAAGCTAGGAAGCTTGAAACTTTCTTGGCTCAATTACTCTCACTGTAATGTACCTTCAGGTACCTTAATCAGCTACAAAATTGTGTGTGCTGACGCATTGGGCAACTCTGCTCATTGGCCAATCAGTGCGTTTTTCATATATTAAAAAATAACATTTCTTGTACCTATTTTCATAAATGTTCTGCCTATATTGGTTAACCATCAGTAAAGCAACAGCTCCCGTTGTCTGTGATAAGCCTTGTTTGTTTTAAATCCTAAATATTTGCTTTGGTCTCCATATAGCGGAGTGGCCAAAGACTATAACTGGCCTTCCCAGCACATCAGGCACCACGGCCAGCGTGATCGTCATCCGTGGCGATCACATGTATGTTGCCCATGTGGGGGATTCAGCAGTCGTGGTTGGAGTAAAAGAAAATGACTCTGATATCACACTTCAGGCACTTGAACTTACACAGGACCATAAACCTGAACTTCCTAAAGAAAAAGAGAGGATTGAAAGACTGGGTGGCAGGTGAGTTGGAGCACACACTACTTTTACTACTTTTAATCAAAAATGTTTGCAGGAAATGTCTGAATAGTCTCCCTCAATTTTGCTAGCAAAAAGCTAGCCTTACTGTGCAAGAATAACACCAGAAACAAACCTGAACCCAATCTGAGCCTTACGGAATTCTTACTTAGCTTTTGTTAATCTACATACACATACAATCTCAACATCTTTTATACATAAAATACATGGCTTTCAATTAAGAATTCTTCATTAAGTCATTAACTCTAGCTGTAACTGTATGTGTCTATTCACTTAATTCATCCACTGTTATATGTAACTGTATGTTACAGGACTATTCACTTAATTCATCCACTGTTATACATTTTCAGTCGTTCATCAAACGATACCTTAAGTTGAGTCATAATATTTATAATAGACTGGCAGCAAACACGTTGTATTGTCAACACACACAGAAGATCCAAAACGTTTGTTGATACCTAAAACTGTTTTACTAAAAGAACATAAACATGCCATGTCGAGTATACATACAGTACTTGCCCAATCAGTCAGCTTGTGTTAAGGTTACCTGTTTGGCCCATGTGAATGTAGCGTGATGAAGAAATCTGGTGTGAACCGCGTTGTGTGGAAGCGACCCAGACTGACCCATAACGGCCCAGTGAGAAGAAGCACAGTAATTGACCAGATCCCCTTCCTGGCTGTGGCACGATCCCTTGGTAAAATAACACCTTTCCCTTCGTTTTACTTAACATTTATTTTCTGTATAAACCAGTAAAACAGATAAATTTGCTTGCAGGTGATCTGTGGAGTTATGATTTCTATAGCGGGGAGTTTGTAGTTTCTCCTGAGCCTGATACCACCGTGATGAAACTTGACCCCAAGCGGCATCACTACATCATCCTTGGCAGTGACGGACTGTGGAACATGATGCCCCCCAAAAATGCCGTCAATATGTGTTATAGCCATGACAAAATGGTGGTATGTAATGGACGAGTTTTCACACATTCTTCATTGTCTTAGGTTTTATCGTTCCAGGAACAGAGACATAAGCCAGCTGTTGCTAGGCAGAGTAGGTAAAACCCTGAGTAGTTTGTAACTACTGTAAAGGTACATTTTTAAAAGATTTTCTACCACCTGAATGGTTCAGGTCTGACAAATTAGATTAATTACACACCTCTTAACTTCCTGTTCAACTTTAGTCTCCTGGTAGTGGCAGACAGCTGTAGTTTTATACTTTATACGTTAGATTACATAATTATTAAGGTTGATATTTTACATTAATTATTTTATCCTTTTTCAAGTGTTTGCAAACTAAATTTAATTGCACTTTTGTTTAAATGGTTTGCTGTCAAAATTAAATTCAAATTGAATAAAATGCTACTTTTTATTTCAATTTTGTGCACACCAGTGCACTTAATCACAGTTTTTACATTCAGTTTATTTACTTACTTTATTTGTTCATTAAGTTAGATTACAAGTTCTTTTTTATATATATATAAATTAAAACACACTGAATTATGCCACATTGTTAATGAGTCAAATTGCTTCTTTTCTCCGCTGCAAAACTCTTCAGGGACCTAAAGGGATGTCGTGTGCACGCAGGCTTGGATGCACAGCACTACTGTTTTGGAAGGAGCGCATGCTGCGCGCAGACAACACAACAGTTATCGTGCTGGCGCTGCAGGAGCGTGGCGGACCTCCGATACCTATGCATCGGGATGAGATTATTGTTGACATGGCTACAGGAATTGACCATGTTCCATATCTTGGGAGTCATTACAACACATACGAAGTGCCCAAGGTTAGTGCTGTGTGTTTAATTTTAATTTCTATTATATACGTTCAACATTAACTACATTCTAATTTTTTTAATTTAATTCAATTTACAATGTTGAAATTTTAAGTAAAATTATTATGCTCAGCTATTGGTTGTCACCAAGTTTCTCTTTGCTTTCAAATACAACAGGAAGAGCATGAGGATGGAATGTTTTATGAGGAAGAGGACATGTTCGGAGAAGAACAGGAAGGATGGTCATGCCTGGAGTGGTAGCGAGGTAAGTCCTTGACCTGTTGAACATGACGATTGACTGTGACCTTCGTGAACCACACCCACTTTTTTAAAACTTCATTGAAGTTCACTATCTAAGTCCTGTGACATACCTGCTAAAGATTTTTAAGATGTAATAATTATATAGATTAAAAAAAAAAATTCTACAGTGAAAAGTGTTCCCTTTGTTCCACAGAGTGATGTTGCCTCCTCCCAGTTCCTCCGGTTTACAGTAGACTGATTGGGTGTTTGAGGAAGCTGCAGTCTGTGCCACCGTGCACTTCTCTCCTGAGCTCGCTCTAAACACACCACCGATCTCACAAGCAGGACTCTGAAACCCAAAATGACTATGGTACATCAGCCCTTTGACACATTCTTGACCTGCACCTATACGGTAAACTTAACAGTTGCCTCCATCCACTCAGCAGGTCACCTGACACAGGCCCAGAAAATGCCTAGTAGCAAAGTACAAAGTGACCAATCCCCTTCAAAGTGGTGCTCAGAAAAAGTTGACCTCCCCCAAGGACATCACAACATTACCTTTCACCTTTGCGTTTTGCGTGTGTGGACGGTGTCCAAAAGTACCACTTTTCCCTAGATGTATACTTTTTTACAGAGTCGTCGTTGTAAATATGAGTGAAATGTGAGATTATCGGCTGTGTTTTTATGTCCTCCTCCTCCTCCTCCTCTTGTCCTCCAAATTGTAGTGTTATGTAATTTACCGTCTAAAGTTTGGAGTTTTGTTCCTTTGATACACTCTATTTTCATACCTCTTTGTACAGTATATCCAACAAGATGTGTATTTTGAACGAAAGCGGTGATCGCTGCAATTTGAAGTGACGTCACTGCACCTTGTGCTGCATGGAATTTTAAGCTTTTAACCGGAACAAATTACCTCTTATTTGTTCAGTATGCTATGGTTTTAAGTGTTCAGAAATCTTCACACCACCCGGCTAGACGTTTTCGTCGTTTTCTCAAACAAGAGAAGCTGCTGTGTCATATTCATAATGAAACTTAGCCTGAAAACATGCATTTGTGAACTGTGCACAGAAACTCGAAGGAAATCCTTAAGTATTAGTCTACAACAAACAAGCATTCAGCTTTTATACGTGTTACTTTTTTTTAATTCCCCCCTTTTTTTTAAAAAACGTTTTCTGTTTTTCCACTGAATAGTGAACTTTAACATGTGAGGACATATACATTACAATTCAGTCAAACTGGGCTAAATCAATACATTTGCTAAGGACAGTGTGTATGTGTGAATGTATTTAAAATGTCACAGGTGTATCCTGATTACAGGACATGTCTACACATGGAAGTGAATGGAGGTTTTCATTTCTAAGCGTGACACAAGTGCAGTCTGTCCTTATGACAGTATAGAGACCAACTCCTCAACTGAGGATGTCCAACCTACTACAATATTACAGTGATTTTATACAATAAATCCCAATATATGGGTAGTAGCTGCTGAAGCCATTTAAATAACACGTAATGTCATTTTGTTTTTCTACAGTAAGAATGACATTGTATGTTTGGATAATGGAATTAACATTTTACAATAGTCATTTTTAACAGTCATCTGTGATGATGCGAACATCCCCTTCGCACCATTTTTTTTTAAAGATGAATTTATTGCTATACACTATAGATAAAATTACTAGTAAAGTGACTAAGGAGAAAATCTGTGTTTTTTGATTAATTTCCTTCCATGACGGTATCTCTTATTTCCAGATACCAAGTACGATCAGCATTTGTCACGTGAACCCTTGGAGTTTCACGTGATTCAGTTGAGTTTTAGCTGTGCTGGTCTGTGACCTGTGAAGCCTGGACTTTACCTGAAATGCCTCTTAAAATACACATCGCAACTTTTTAACTTAAATCTTCTAATAGTCCTAATAATCACTCAGTAGCCCTCACAACTACAATACAAATCGATTCTCAATTTTATCTAAATTCAGTCCTTACAGATCATCACATACACTCAGAAAACAATGTAATCTGCTACAGCTTTGGTAAGAACAGGTGTGTATCCTGCAACGCTGTCTTTTATTATCTTAACATTGCGATGTGATGACGATGCTTTTTTTAAAAAGAAAGTCTACAGACTCAGAGTACATCAGAGGACCTGTACTTTAGTGGGAATTCCAATTGCGACCCTCTCTGCCCTGTTGTTTGCTCAGGTCATTTTATGTGTTTATTTGCTTCTGATCACACACTTAACAATGTCTTCCACTTATTTATTGCATGTTTCGTATTTGCCATTCAGTGTATTCCAACGCAACACTTAAAAACGCCCGACGGTATGTGCATTGAATATAAGTGCTGGATTTATATTTATTGTTAAGTTATAGAAATTCTAACGTGTGTTAACATGGCAGCTCACCTACTGTTTTTGCTGGTTCGTTTGCCTTATTTTTTTACATCGTAATGGTTGCCTTCACACATTGGTCAGAGGTGCTATTCTCATGTGTTACTCATCCGGAGGCTGTTGACAGACATGCGAGCTATTGTGTAGTAACGTGAACTTGATGTTGACTCATTCCTAAGACACCATATAGCACCATATAGTCAAGAACGCAGCGTCATTTTGTCATCCGCGGCTCAGTACGGTATACGAATAACGACAACGTGTTGTGTGTATAGTAAATCCAAATGCAGGTTGTTATTGTTATGCAATGAATAGTGTTCAGAGGCTCAGAGAGCAGGTGGAGTGATGATGGCTGTTTGTGAGTTCTTGGTTCATTTTGGTTGTTACAAAGTCTTTATAATCCACTGCAGCCACAGTCTGCCAGCTCGACGCAACATTACATGCTTTGGCCACAATGCAGTTTCCCGTGTGTTGTATTAAAGTTCTCATTTTCCATTTGCCTTGTGTCCTTTCTGTTACATAATGGCTTTTATTTGTTTAATTGTGTTGCTATATATTGGCTTCGTTGTATTTGGATATTTCTGGTTCTTGTACAGTAACATTTTCTGTCAGCAGATGGCAGTAATATGAAGGCGATGTTTTTTTCCAGCCTCAGCGTCTTGTCACGTAAACGTAACACAGTTAACACTTCTGAGTTTTATTTTATTATATTTATTTTATTTTGTATTTTTGAGCATTCCGACTGATTTTTCAAGATCATTGTGTTCTATGATTATACTATATTATATGTTCTAGACACTGTTTAAATGTATTCATAAATGTATTTAGTTTAAATATATATTTAGTTTATGAGTCTATTTATATATTTATGTTTTGATTGTTTCAGCTATAGGTACCTGCAAACCGGATAGTATAATGTATAGCATAACGGATAAAATATATATAATATTTCTTAATCTTAATCTTGTGCTCATCTCCCAACCAAAGTGACACTTGCTGCCACCTAGTGGATCAAATCGTCAGTTCATCTGTTTACAGGCCTGATATTTGTGGACAGCGCCGCCAGATGGCTCCCTCCCCCCGCCCCGGTTGAAAAACATCGAAGTCCATAGACGTCACTGGCAGGACAACGAGTTGATGATACGAAGGCTCTTTTCCAGGTAGACCCTAAACTCATAAAGTAAATAATGACAGATGCACTGGGCTTGTGTAAAATAAAAGTGTGTATATATATATATATTTTTGTATATATATATATATATATATATATATATATAATACATATAGATAGACAAAAAATCAATTAAAAAATATGTCAAACAATATAAATATATAGATATACAAAAAATAAATATTTTTGTATATATTTATACAAAATATATATATTTTATATATATGTATACACATATATACATTGTATATTTGTATACAAATATATATATTTTGTCTATAAATAAAATATATATTCTATATATTTTGTATATACAATTTTTGTATGTATATATTACATATGCAAAAAATAAATTATATACACATTTAGTTTTTTGTATTTTACTACAACAAAACTTCTTTTACTACAACAAAACTTCAATTGTATGCAGTTATAATGACAAAAAAGAAACCTTGAGCTTGACCTTGATATATACTGTACATATACATAGAGTACATGAGCAATATATTTATTAGATTTTAAATTACCTCGACATGGTTGTCTCAGTTACGGCAAAATATATTTGAATTTTTCTTCTCGTGCTTTGAGCTTTTGCAGAATAAATAGAAGTTGGTTATCAATCAACAGTATTATGATTACATTTGGGCTTACTATAGTATTATAATATATCTACCAAAATGTTTTTCAAATATATATATGTTCAAAGTTATGACTTTACCTACGACTTGGTCTGGTCAAGCTGTGCCTTACAGTGTTGCGTGACGATATTGCGTGTTTCCATCCGGATTGCGTGATGTCAAACATGACCGGAGCTGTGCTGTGGTCTCATTTTGGACGTGGATTTAAAGGTGTGATGAGGTTAAGATTCTTAAGTGTTTTTAAATCCTGTGTTTGGTTAAGTGCAAAATCACCTCTCCTGACATATGAGAGGCGCACGCTCGACAGATTGGCTGGTGCAGGTGTGAGGATTTATTCCCATGCTTGTTTGCACTATGGGATTCATGGAACGATGGACGGATGCTTGGCACATCAGTACAGATTTCAGAGAAAATATCAGTGCAATTTGAATAGAAAACACACATTATACTATGTAAAAAGATATGTGTCTTACCTGATAATGGATTAGATTCTACATCTTTCAGGTGTTGCCATGATGGGATACCAAATGGGATTGTGCTCTCAAGTCACCTTTGCTATGGGACATCCACTTCACCTCATAAAGCTTCTAAAGCTCCTACTATGATCAAAATCCCAGATTAAACCCACAGGGATGAGCATCACCGTGCCCGTAAGGTGAGAAGTCCTTTCCTGCGTGAATATTTCGTGGTTACGGGGTCAGTGAGAAAAGAGAAAATATCAAATGTAATGTGATGATTTAAATCCATCCTTTCCTATAATAATAATGTCTTGACAGAATATCAAAATGTTTTTTAAAGAAGATTCTACCCTTACACATAACAATATTTTACTATTTTACTTCCACTGCCTCTACTACTTTTTCAAATTTTCAAATATATGGAATGTTCCTGGAATGTCTGGAAACCTTGTCAAACATTTGTGTTGGTCATTCTGTTATAACAAGTTCAACCTGACTGTTTATTTTTATCAACTGTTAAAATATAAATAATTATTATTTTATTAATTAGTAAAAAGTATAAAATACAGATGAATTATTGGGGCATTGGTAGATTCTTAACCATCTTGAGGAAGAGAGTTGGGGCCGGAATGTTTCAGGTTCGAGTCCACCAGCTGCCAAGTTACCACTGAGGTGCTCTGACCGTCCCCACACACTGCTCCCCGGACGCTTAAAGCTGCCCACTGTTCACTTTGGTGATGGGTTAAAAGCAGAGGTCACAGTTGGTGGTGTGCAGTGGTGTGCTGTGTCACAATGACAATTCACTTTATACTTTATTTATAATAGAGTGAGCTGGAGGCAGATGATGCACTGTGAAGCCCCCTGAATAGAAACACTTTATTTACAGTTGTAGTTGCAGTTATTTAGAGTTATTTACAGACTCATCTGTCTTTCTCTCCTTACCTGCTTCACACTGGTCACCATTGACTTCAAGTCCTTCACACACCTCACCTTGGTTCTGCCTCATCTAACTCACCTTGTTCACTTCTTTCACCTCATCTGGTTCACCTACCACTTTCAGTTTGCCTGATATTTCATTTTCCTCACCCATGTTAGCGGAAATCTCCCCTGCCTCTCTCGTCACACCTGTTGTAAGAAAAAAAACAAACTACTCATGCAACCTTTGATTTTACTAGTCAGTGGACAAAAGAAGGGTTCCCCTACCTCCTGTCCGGGGACCGATGCCGGTTTGTAGGTCATGTAGTACAGTGCTGCAGTGGGACACAGTCAAAAAAGGAGTCCCCAGCCTGTGGTGTAAGAGGGACACAGTGAAAAAAATGTAGTTTTACTAATTTACTTCATTCAAAAAGAATCGTGTCATATCCATTTAGATACCGCTGTAGTAAAGGATTTAGATCATGGTGAACAAGCACTAACCACCCACCTTTGTCACTAGGCCCATTACCAAAGTGTAGCCCTCTGACCCTGTGCATCCGCTTAAGACGATTAATGGAGCACTGAATGTTCAAATCTTGTACAGATATTTACAGATCAGCCATTAACAAATTGAGATCTTTTCACCCTGACCTTGACTGAACTGCAATCTTGTTAAAGGATTACTACCAGTATCGTAAGATTGTAAGGGCATGTCTGTTAGTGTTTGTTGCCAAGCCTGACATCTGCTTTTGCGTTTGTGAACTTGACATGTTTCAGTTTTTTTAAAGACGAAGATCAGTGTCACACTGAGCTGTCCGAAGATTTTAAAAACCTAGATATTGTTGTAGGGACATAGGTCTGACAAATACCTCATGTACCTACAACAAGTACTATAGTTAGACGTAATCCCCTTTAATAATCTCCAATCATGGGCGGAGGAGGTACATCTGCCTCCTCATCCTCAGGATTATTTGAGGTCAGAAATGCTTGCAATTAAGTCTGCGCTGCATGATTGAAGACGCTTGTCGGCTTAGGTTTCCTTGCCTTCATCCGGATCAGAATCAGAACTATTGATTCACAGGGGCAAACGCACGCGTGCTGTTCGCCTGGAGAACATGCTTGTTACTGTGCAATGAATGGACGGTGTGCCGTGCCCACGTCCCCTCTCCTCGGCGCCACTCGAACCCATCTTTTCCCCTCAATGGGTTTACCAAAGTTGCCGTTGTCAGAGAAGGTCGTTTCTGACAGTCAACTAATGCGACAGCGTCACCAAACTACCCACATGCACTTTATGGACGGCCCAGAAGACGAGCCCATGGTCACTCTAGGGTCCAAACATTTATGGGACGAATTCCATCAAATCGGAACTGAGATGGTCATAACTAGGTCTGGAAGGTAAGCATGGTGTCATAGCCCAGTTTTGCAGTCTATTGTATGCATAGTTAATCACACATCATTATCACTGCTATGGTTCCACCTCGAAAACAAACAAAAAAAGTTTGATTTTTGTAAAAAAAAATTACAATTTAATTAATGTTTAATTTTATGTTTTTAATTATCGTACTTTTTTTTCAATGCCTATACCGAAGAAATATTTTAATATTATCGTCAAGTATCGTTATTGGGGCCGCCAAAAATTAAAGTAACTTAGCTTCACCAGGCATTTCACTTCATGTACAGTATGTGTACTAAACCGTTTGACTTTTGTTATAAAGTATATTAAATCCACAATCCAGACTTCAAAGAAAATAATGCTACTAATAAAGAGTTTATTTTATATTGTTAATAGATGACTAATTGCAATACAGAATATTATTTATTATTCTGCGTAAACAAATATAAATACTGATATGTCTAAAGGAGAGAAACCCATGCCATGTTAACAATATGCGACCATTTGCATCATCACGCGCCGTTTGTAAAGCGGCTCATGCTGAAAGCGACAGCCAGATTTTGTTACATTTAGCTTCGGACAATGATTGAAAAAGAAATGTGGATTTTTGAAAATCAATATTTGTTCACTTAGATATACTTAGAAATATATTAAAGAGTTAAATAAATAAAAAAGCTAAATGTAACAAAATGTTGCTGTCTTTTCAGCATGAGCAGCTTTACAAATGACGCCCTATATTTGTTGACCGTATATATATTATAAAATAAAGATGTCCATCCTTCCATCCATCTATCTATTTATTTTATCCTTTGCCATAGGAGGATGTTTCCGCCCTTTAAGGTTAGAGTGGACCGACTGGATGAACGAGCCAATTACATCCTGCTAATGGACATTGTTGCTGTCGACGGCTGCCGCTACAAGTTTCACAACTCCCATTGGTCAGTGGCTGGAAAAGCTGAGCCGGAGGTGCCAAAGCACCTGTACATTCACCCAGACAGTCCTGCCAGTGGACAACACTGGATGAGCAAACCTATAACCTTTCACAAATTCAAACTCACCAATAACATCATGGATAAACACGGATTTGTAAGTAGTTGCTTGAAAACTGAAGGATTGTTTCCATCTATTTATGAATTTCATGTATTTTCACTATTTGGCTTTTAATCACTTTACTATTGCAGACCATTTTGAATTCAATGCACAAGTACCAGCCAAGGCTTCACATCGTACGAGCTAACCACACGATGAAGATTCCATGCAGCACCTTCCGGACTTACGCTTTCTCTGAGACAGAGTTCATTGCAGTGACCGCCTACCAGAATGAAAAGGTGTTGTTCTATCGTCTTATCTCCACAACCACACTTACACACACTTACTCACAGCACTAATCGAGCCAGGGAGGTTTTAAGAGCATTTCATTTTCAATGAGCTGTTAATGTTTGTTTGTTTTTTAAAAACCTACTTCATTTACTTACTTACATTCCCCTGTAATCTGATTGGCCACAATTTTGCTTGAATAAAAATAAAACGACAAAAGTATAGCAAATTACTATTGCAGTGTTTTTCAGAGGTGATAAACACATTTGGGGTGAAGGGAAATGTCTGTTAAACATCCTCTTTTTCTTCTCCTCTGTAAGATAACTCAGTTGAAAATCGACAACAATCCCTTTGCCAAAGGATTCAGGGACACTGGCAATGGGACACGAGAGAAAAGGTAATTGCTTCGCGATAATCAAAACGACAGTGAAACAATTCTGCACATGAGTAATGTCGACATCTTTCATAAAAATCTGTGCTTGCAGGAAGAAACAGTTAAACAAGTCCTGTCAAGACAAAGCGGAGCTGGACAGTGGTGACTCTGACGAATCAGGTAAAACACTGTACTAGTGACTCATTTTACTACCGCTTGGGGTAGGTGTGCCGCCCTCTAGTGGCCACTGTATCGTACTTCAGTTATTTATATAAAAATTCTATCCCTCATAATAAAACACAACAATTATAAAAAAAACAACTGTAAAAAAAATATTACTATACAAAACAGAGAATCATGAAAAAATATAGAAATTATAATTGGTATCAATATACCAATTATAATTTCTATATTTTTGTCACACAGCCCACTTATTGACTTGAAAACACATTGCATTTATTGCACCTAATGAATAGCAGATATTTTCCTTTTCACCCCCTTTTGAACTCTCTTAAAATAACTGAAAGAAAAATATACAGATATTGTATTTATATAAACAAAAACATACAATATACTGTACATTACAGCATAAATATACTCCATATAACATACAACAGTTAATAAATGATGGAAATGGAAATCGCTCCTAGATGGAAATCTAGGAGCGGTGATCATGATTAATAATACTAAGAAAAAAAATATTTATAAATTATTATATAAAAAGCTATTTAGACTGGAAATACCTCCAGTTATGTCGGAATCGGCCTTTTCAACAACAATAGTAATAATAACTCTTGTTTGCTTTGCCCAGACGAGGACACCAATGACAGAGATTCAGTAATTGAGCCACAAAAGGAGGATACTGCTGAAGCCCACTGTTTCAGGGGTAACTGTTTGAGACCAGAGGACCCATGGTCAAACATGTCTGCTCTCGGTAAACAATCAAGTCAGGAGACAATGACCAAAAAAACTGTACATAACACTTCGGGTGAAATTTACTGCTTGGACATGGACCCTTCACTACATTACATGAATGGGATCACTAATGAGTTGACGCCAGTGACGCAGAAAACACAGACTTTAACATCTCTCAGAGCTGGACACCACCACCCTTTGGGTTTTTATGGTCCACGCAGCCATCAGCTTTTTAAGCCAGATGTACCATTGTTTCAACCAAGAGAGTGGTCAGTATGGCCAAAGGATTATCCTGGTGCGAGTATGAGACGAGGGTTGTCCTCTATGCCTAGACTAAAGGAGCAGAAGAGCAGCCGACTGTCTCCTGAAAGATTCACCTCTCAAGTCAAGTCCTATCTACCACAACGCAGGGCGACTTCTCAGGTAATTTCACACACTGTACCATACCAACACAATAATCCAAGTGTCTGACCTAGGTATTGGATTTCCTGGCCTTGAGTCAGATCACACATGTGAGTTTACTAGGTTGAGTGCTAAATAAGGAAACAGTGAATTTCATCAACTAGATGGTTACTCATTTTAACCCAAAATAAATTTAAAAAAAATATTGAGTGAGACACATTAAAGTGGAAAACAAAAGATCAAGTAAGACAGATTTAGTGACATCTAGAGGATGCTACCTAATATCCAACCCCTTATATTGACTTTTACGTAATAGAAAATGCTGTAATATTCAAAACTGTAGTTTTTCAGTACTTTACAAAAGCAGCCATCAGTTTTAGCTAATAAATTCTGTGCCTGAATTTAAAGACTAAATAAATCAAGCTAAATGTTCATTTTAGTCCGTGAGAGTAGGTTTAAAATTTAGTATATTTAACCTTAATGTTTCTGGGATTGTTTGTTTTTTACAGGGAACCTCAGTGACACCCTCTGGAGGATTGCTGTCATATCCATTCCACTACATGGAATCTGCATTTTCTCTTCCCACTTGTTCTCCAATCCCATCCCTCAACAGAAAATATTGCTTGCACAGCTCCAAACCTTGGTCACGATTTAGACCCTATCATGTCCCATTTCATGCTCAAACCAGCCCCCATAGGTTTCACATGGATGTTCAAAATTACATACTCGAATCAGACAGCAGATATAGAGGTAATGAATGACCATTACAGGAGCAGCACCACCGCCAGTCAAAAAGTACTGTTTCACTTAAACACTTAAAATCATCATCATTTTCTGGGTCCCCAGAAAAAAAGGTTGGGAAACACTGTCCTAAACCACTTCTAATGGTTCAGTACTTCTGAAAATGCAAGTAGTTTTGTTTGATTGTTTGGACTGTTTCCTCATACTGCTGAAAGTCAAATGTAATACAAAAGTACTGCTCATGGACACTATTTGTTTTTACTTTGTATTATTGCCCTACTGGGTTTGTTTGCCTTGTTCAACTGGTAAATATTCTTTGCCTGTATTGGGTAACTCTGCTGAATGTGCTTCTATAAAGATTATCGTTACTTTTACTGTAGGTAAGAGACATTGCAAATAAATTATATCAATTCTTTCTGGCATCTTTAAGTGGTTCAAAATGAAAAACGCCCTCTGCTGTCCGCTATGATGTCCTACAGACTGGCCTCATGCAAGGTTGCAATGGTTTTTTCTGTTTGACTTGTATGTTTATTTACCATCACCTGGGGGTAAGTGGATCTACATGCTGCATGACTAAAGAAAAACAGATTTTTGTGTATTATTGTTGAATTAACTGCATATTTGAGCATAAATAATTTTGTTCTTTTAAATGATTTGCTAACAAGGGTGTATATTAATAAGTCCCAAACATTAACAATATGCATTCAATAAACAATTTTAAATATTGAAAATTATTATTTATATCATCCACAACTCTGCTCTATTGTATGAGTTGACATTAAAGTTGACAATCTAACATCAGATCCACTGCAGCTTTTCTTTCTAGTCATGGGTTTCGTCCGTACTGCTCTGATTGTGTAAAATACATGTACGAGAAAATTGTGTTGATTTAGTCCAGAACAACTTGGTGATCTAGTAATAGATGTACAGTACGTATGTCTCTTCGACTTATTCCTCCTACCCAGAACAGTCTGTTCCATCACCAAAACTGTTACGTAACTACTAAAGCACGTGTAAGGCAGGTTGAGCGGTTCCGCCCCAACATGTTTTCCGAACACTGTTTTCAATTGCAAAAAGCCCATGCGGAGTAAGAGGAATCCTCTTCCGGGATCCTCCCACATGAGCCCGCCTACATAATCTCTCAAATTTGATTGGTTCTCTGAAAATTATGTTGTCATAGATCTAAGTGAAATAGACTCAATAGACACGACATTCGTAAGATGGGTTATACTTTTTAGTTAGTTTTTTTTAAAAGACAAAATATCTAATTGTTGTATTTTTGTATACTATACCTGAGTAAAGTTTTGTTAGAGTTTTATAGATTTTAAAGTTTTATAGTGCCCTGAGTGCCACTCTGGTATGACATAATTTCAAGTTCTTGTTCTTGTGTACCTTTACATCACACAGGTACTGGAAATGCAATCATGTACATAATATAATGTAATTCAATATATTACGTAAACATATATTTCATATATATAAACCATCTTTAGATCGTCAAAAGCCTCGAAGCTTGCGCTGTGTCTTGTCTGTCTTGTCTATTTCTATAGCGGAAGCTCGGTTCAGAGGTGAACGTCCTACAGTAACCAGCCAGAGAGTCGTCACATCACCCCACTCTCTGCTGTTATCGTCCGACTGAGGTGCGTGACATCATCATGATGTGGGTTCCTTTTCTTTTTTCATCATAATCATCACTCGTGGAGACGGGTATGTCTGTTAATCGGAGTTAACCTTTAACTGTCACAGGATTACGTGTCGGTTTATTCACGCCGGTAAGTCCATGTTTATATCAGATCACGTTACCTGTTCTGTTAATAGTCGGTAGTGTTGAAGGATTCGGAGTACACTGCAATGTAAGTTCAGTACACTGCCTTGAAGTGCAGTTCCTGTACAGTACAAGAAGGGTACCGGCAATATATTTGTCTTTGCACTGGTTTTTGCAGGGTAGCACTGTGATTATTAGCATCCCTTGCTTCAAGCGGGTTTGACAGGTTGCACCATTAGCATACACGCAGCACTAACACGGCACCCGCTCCCTTTAAGATTAAGAATGACCACTGTTACGACAGTATTTTGGCTTTGTTTGCAAGTTGTTGGAAGCTGTGGGTGTCGTGTTATAAGCTTATATCGCTGACCAAGCTTTGCGGTGCTCGTCTTGTTTTTCTGGTCCCACAGGAAGCATCTTTCCGTAAGTAAGGTAAGGTGTGTCGATAGAGGGCTTCGTCCCAGTTCAGCACCGAAACTCGCACAATCCTCCTCGATTCATGATTTCTCCATTTATATTCAATTAATAAGAACTATGGAATATCACACGGGAAAAGGGTCATGTACATTTTTACATTTTTTTTCAGCATACATGAAACGTACATACTTACAAAAATAAAATAAAATAAATAAATAAGACAATTATTAATAAATCCAATGTAAAATGTACAAGTTCAAACCATGCATTATAAAGTACAGACGGTAAGTTTGACAGAATAGACGAAAATAGATAAATAGAAAACAGAATACAAATAATAACAACCCAAATAGGTAGAATCATCATAATTTTGGTGAATACTATTTATTTAATTGCAGTAATGACGTATGTAAAGGATTAAAATTCACTTTGTTAATAATAAACAAAACATATTAAACAAAACATGCTGTTAGCAGTGCTAATGCTACACAACAACAAAAATAGACATTCGTTGAAAATACCACTTGGTGTCTAAAAGCAGTTATGTCTTCTACGCTAAACACAAACAACTTTTGCATGTTAGTTGGTGTTGTGCCCATATAAGTGTCTTTGTTGTCAAACAAACCAAAGAACAGATTCATGTTTTCAAGTATCACGGTTAAAAAAATATTTCATTTTGTTGCTTAGAAACTAACATATTAATATATTTTTCTGCTTCAGCTGCACATTTTGCAATGTCTGTGTCTTTATCAGCACACTTGTTCACTGCGGCCCACTTTTGCAACAGGACAAACATCATGACATGTCAATCATGTGCAACTCATGTCACACTGTACCTAACCTCATGGACACTGTCTCCTCCTTTATAACCTCTTTCGCAATTTCTGTCTGTTTTGTCTTTCAAACATCAGTACTTGCTGCCTGTAAGTGTCACCCAGCCATGGCACAACAGGACAGCGGTGCCAAGAAGAATCCAGCAGTTGCAGCGCTGCACTCCCATTTCATCGTTGGCTCAGTGTCAGAGGAGAACTCCGAGGATGAAATCCAAGGGAAGCAGGAAGTGCCGCTGGAGGAGAAGGAGACACGCTCTCTGTCGCCGTCATCTAGTAGCTCCGACAGCCCGTACGAAATAGTCTGTGACCAAAACGACGGCCCCACGCACAATCTAAGGTTAGATTCCACACCTGGCTGCTGTACTGTGACATCTTGAATCTAATGATGGTTCTGTCTTTGTTTGTCTACTATCTTTCAAAATGATTGTCAGAGTAAATCATTTATTTGCAGTTACTTAACTTGTTTCATGGATAATAGTTCTTCTTGTTTAAAAAAAAGGCCACAAATGTTGGTAATTATAATTTGTAATTAGTTCATAATTTGACACTACTAGGTTTTTGTACCTAAAGTGTATGTTTTTTATCTATTATTAAAAATATTCCTGATATAGAAACATTAAAAAAATAGTCTGATGATGATTTCTTACATAATGGAGATTCATCTTCCTTTTTTAAAAAAACTTTTCATCTCAGTTACAAAGTCACAGAAAGAAGCTTTTCTCCTATAGGATAGGACACCCTTTCCTAATTTCCATAGCTGTATTGAAATTGGAGCCTCCACTCTGCCTTTTCCTGGTTAACATGTTGCAATAATGTAGTAACTGCCCATAGAAACCAGCCAGCCAGACGAGCCCCAGTCCTGCCCCTCCCTCCAGACAATAATCATAGTCCAGCCCCTACTGTATCCTCTCTGCCCCCAAGTGTTTCTCTCAGAGGGAACACAATTTTAAGAGCTGGTAGAGGCCTGTAAGCATGTGTTCGTGAACAGGTTTGAACTCAGCATCTAGGCAGGCATTTTGATGGTCGATCCCACGAACTCTAAAATG